ATTATTATTATATACATATATTATTTTTGCTTTTGGGCAGTTCTTTCAAATTCCTCCTCAACAGTTTAAAAATATTGCGGCAGTTTTTTTTCTTAAATATCTTTTTTTCAGTTTGCTCATTAATCCGATTTGTTTTTTGTATCTTCTGCATTAATTTATAAAATGTTTATCAGAGCAATTAAGTGAAATGAAAAATGGAATTTTGAGAAATGTAATAAGCTTAAGAAGTCATCGGCCATTAATGAAATTAATCAATTTCGTTTAGTAAGATTTGAAATTTTTTGATGAAATCTCCTCTGTTGATGGTTTTAATATGGCCATATGTAAGGAAAAAATAAAATTTGGAGTGATTTTCAAAGTGTAATGCTCATATCGAAATACTAATTACTGTTTAACTATATATTAGAAGTATTTCATTTACTTCCCGGTTAAATTCTCGAGAAGTTGATGATTGGATTTATACTATAAGGCACCAATACTATTGAAATAAGTGTCTTTGATAATATTAATCACTACATCCTTACGCGAGCGAGGCACATTGAAATATATTCAGATTCCTTTTTCAATGGCACAAAACAGGCAGTATAACTGTATGCAGACTAATTTGCTGCACCAACAGTTCTAATCCGATTAATCGAAACGAACTTTAACCGGGATATTTTCTATAATTTTTCTAGCCTTTGAATAGCTTTATTATCGAACTTTAAACAATGCCACTCAAAATCATTTTTTGGAAAACATTCAACTTGGCAAAGTATTTGTCCATTCTCCAGCGCAATCGAACAGAGCATGGTTCCTTTAAAAGTATTTCAATTTGTAAATTTATTACTAAATAACTGTCTTGCATGGTTCCATGGACATTAATCATGTCCTGTTCTCGTCTGACCTGAGATAGTTCAATGAACTTAACGGACAAATGAAGCAAGAAAAATCCACGTTAATCTGAATATTATCAATAGTTTATATTGTATTTCAATATAATTCAAATATTGAATTACATCAAGAACTTAAGCCAATTATGCATTCAATTACTTTCATCACAATGATCGAATAATAAAATGCTCGGTTAAGACTTTGAAATGCCCGCCTTATCATTTTTACCACCTGGTGGTATCCATTAGACCTCTAATTTCAAGACACCTTTACTATTTGACAATTAACAGAGATTACCAACTCATCAAAGGGATCACGCTGTCACCAATCTCAAAAAATCTTGACGAAAAGAATATTCCGGATTTCCGGAATAAATTTAAGAGACAAATGACGCCAATGCGGTTCATCGTTTTCCAAACCGTTTTCTGCAGTAAACGATATCTTACTCTGCACTTCTCTGCTTCTCTGCATCTTTTCTTTTTGTTTAGGCAAAAAACATTTCCACACCAACCTTCGCCTGATGGCATTGTTTGACGTTAAAGAAAACTTTCTAAGTGATCCACATAACTCCCAAAATAAGTGGCAGCCGCGCTCACCTGAGAATAATGATTATACTAGAAAAACTACTTGTTTCTTTCGAGATATGAGGGATAGAACGAAGAAGTTAGAGATTATTGACACTGAAGAGTGCATAATGTAGAGCTTGAGAGAGGCGCAAAAATAGCATTGTGATACAAATAATGCGACAATTGTTGGAAAGTCATTGAAAAATTAAAGCTTGGATTTGGGTCGTAAATAATTATTTCATTGTGAATCTTCATAAAGGTCGGTTTTGTGTGCGGGAGCTAAATTTATTTGTGCGTTTAAAGATTTCGTTCTCGCAGTTTCTGTATAATCTTAAGTATTCTTCCAGGTCACATTTAAATTGTGGTGCAGCGGTCCGTCTACTCTTTTTTTTTGTTTATTCAGTACAATTTCTTACATGTTGGACAGAGAGGAGGAAGTTGGAACGAAGAAAAGAAATGTGGAAGGAGCTCTTTCAGAATGGAATGCTACTCATTCGCAGGTTTCTCATTATGTCTTCACAAATGAAGACTTCCGGTCATTTCATACAACGCGCACTTTTATTGGGCGGTTTCTTCAGATGATTGTGTATTAACTTAGAAAAAGACAAAAACTTTAAGTTTTCAATTATTTCATTCGAATTTGTCAGTCGATGGAGAAAGAAAAATGACTTCTTATATACTGCTCTTTTTGTAAGCGGTATCATCGTTCTTTTTGATGGGAACAATTTATTTTTTATCTCTGATTTCTCTTCAACATTTTCCAGTATGATATTAAAAGTTGATGTACGTATTAGTGTAGTGTATTTTTTAAAGCTTTGTTTCTTTTCCTTTCTGTAACAAAATGAAAAATGTGAATTTTATTTTGCAAAAATAAGTACTTTTGTTTATTTTGTCTATGTAAGACGAAATTTATTTACAGTACTATTCGTCATTCAAGCTATGGAAAACTGGCTTGCAAATCATCCAGCCTGCTGCATACACATCTTTTTTTCATCTTTGTCACTTGTATTAATAGTTTATATTTGAGAGTTACTTTTCAGTTGCAGGGACACCAGTTGTATAACAGCCATCCATGTGTACTGCGATTAGAAAAGAAAACGATTCACTTTCCTTCATGCGACAATTGTATTATTTTTTCTTTACACTTATTATGAAATCACTTTATTTCTGAATGTTCATTTACCTTTTAATTTCAAAAGAAATGCATAATTTTTTGAAATTATAATAATTATGGTGTAGATTACAATAATTATAGTGATGATGAGGAAATGGTTCCTTGTCGTTGCTGATTCCATGTTTCTTATTTTTCACATTTGATTTTTGCAAGTACAACTATTAATTCCCTGATACCACATTCGAATACTGATGTAAGTACGATCATCACAGAGCCCGATGATATCTACTAATGCGCTTGATTAAATTTTTATTATGTTTCATTTTTAGCTGATACAGAATCGACCTGTGCATCATCAGCAGAGGAACCAGTTGCTCCAGATGGTGGCTACGGATGGATCATTGTTCTTGCGTCTTTTCTTATCCATTTCATTTGTGACGGTATGCATATCATTTCTCAAATCATTCTATTTTTGTGAATTTGTTTTCTAGTAATTTGATGAGAGATTTATTTTTATATCTCTAACAGTAAAACTGCGGCTGGAAATATCCATGCATTTAGTCAGTTTTTGTTTTAATCTCCCACTTGGAATTATGCACCACTTATTTAATTTTGTGTAGTTTTCTTAAAATTTAGAGTACATTAAATACTTCATTGTTATAGATTAGCATAAGGTTAATGTGTATAGGTTTTACTGAAAAAGATCCTAAAAGAATTACAGTCAATTTTCTAACATTTCATCAACTTTTCATATTTGCAGGGATTTCATTTTCATTTGGCATCATGTTTTTGGAAATACAAGAATACTTCAATGTAACAAAAACAATGTCCGGTATTGTTGGATCAATTTTTTTATCAATACCTTTATTGTCAGGGCCGCTTGCTGGAGCTTTAACCGATATATATGATTGTCGGTATGTGTTTATAGTGAATACATTTGTAGTATTTGGAATGTTAAATGCACTGTATATCTGGGTGCTATTTTGCATTATTTTGAAGATATCTTGATGTACCGTCGAAATAAGTATTTTTACAGACGTATGACAATTATTGGTGGATTGATAGCAGCTGGTGGTGGATTGATATCCTTTTTCGCACTTAGTATTTGGCACTTTTTGTTTTCGTTTGCTTTCATTACGGGCATTGGCTTAAGCTTTTGCTTTAATAGTGCTATTGTTGCAGTCACTTATTATTTTCAAGTACAGTTGTTTTTTCCTGGATCATTTCACTCTGGTTCCATTTTTGACATAAAGCGTTAGTATATTCTTAATAACGGCATTCATCTAATTCTTTATTTCTTTTAAAGAAAAAAAGAGCCATTGCAACGGGTATTGCTGTTTGCGGTTCTGGCGCGGGCACTTTTGTTCTCGCACCATTCATCGAAATGGTCAGTTTAACTTTGTTTGAACAATTTTTAATTAGCCCGTTAATTTTGCTTATTTGCAATTTCTAAATTCTGTTCGCATATTAACTCAATTGTTGTTTTATCTTCCTGAGATAATGGATGACTTTTAAAGTATTTTTGATTTTCTGTTTAGCTATTTGCAAAATTTGGTTGGCGTTCTTCTCTTCTTTGTATAGGATTTCTTTTACTTCTTATTGTTGGTTGTGGTTTTATGATTAAGGTAAGTGTTTGTTTTTCGTTTTTTTTTATCACCAATAATGGATCATATAGATTCATTAAAAACCGTTTGAATTGTTATTCATTTAAAATTATGAAGTTATAGAAACATTTTCTACCAGATATAGCTTGAATCTTGTATTTCGAATCCATAGACTGCTTGTTCAGGGTAGCGGGATATATTTTAAATGTTTCAAGCATGCGGCAAAGTCAAATCGAAGGGATGCCCGCTAAAGTCGGAGTAATTTTAGTAAATCTGATTTTCTATTTCAGGATCTCGAGTGGCCTCAGGATACTATAGAATACAAGAGAAAAAAATTCATCGAAAAAACTGAACGTGAAAAGTTACGGTTATCTATGTGGAATGCTAGTAATAATACCAACGTCTTCACTGTTAGTTTCAACTATCAAGTCTTGCTGATATTAGTGCAATTGTGCGCACCTAAGTTGTATAACCCTACGTTATATTATCATTTTCATATTACTATTTCGTTCTCAGTTCTGACAGTTAGCATTTATGTCGTCTGAATTACACTACTATTCAGAACGAGAGGAAATAGCCCTATGTCAACCAACTCATAAATAGGTTTGAGCTGCCAAAGTGTTTAAATTGAATCTTTGCATAATCAAAATGCTGCACAAACAAAAAAATTATTTTTTATATGTATTATATTAGAAAATTTTTGCTCTGATTTTGTGGTTTTTTTTAGATTCTTTGGTCTGTTTTTATCAAAAGAATTATAATTCTGCGGATAAGACTGCTGCTTCCTATGAGCTATTTAGAATCCTTCTATTATGAAGTTTCGAAGTTTCTTTTTTAGATGGATTTTCCTTACATTGATTCGGTTCTTCGCCGTACCATATCGCTGCCTTCGATACCGACGTATGCAATTCCCTTTCTGCAAGTTATCCGTTACTCTTCAAATATACAATCGGTAAATGCATTTTGACATAAGGCAGAAGCTATAGATACAGAAAAATAGAATGCGTAAAAGCATACAGTTGAATAATATTGTTGCCTAATTTATTTAAAAGATTGAAGTCAGCAGGCTTGTAAAGAAATTCAGTACGTCTTCGCAAGGTGTCAGCTGAGGGTCTATTCTGCATAGTCAATATCGAGAAACTGATAGTTATCTTTATCCATTTTTCCTTAGGTAAAAGCAGCTGTAAATGAACTGCAAATACCGGTGTCAAAAAGTTACAGTATGGGTGAATTTTTGCGAGACCCAACAAATGACATAACAAGACAGCACGCATTTACTTTTGATGTTAACCGTACTGGACAACATAATTTGGTAATTTATCGTGTTATGTTTTAATTCCGGACACTAGATGTCTCCTTGAATCCAACAATTTGGTGAAATTTTTTCTTGAAAAAATGAATCAATAATATCGTTTTTTTATTATTTTTACGAGCATCATCCATATATCCAGCATTTCTTTTAAGTATAGATGGCGCACGATGTCGGAGTTGTTGCATCATCGGGATCATCGTGTCAGATTTGCTCCAAGGAAAGTTTTAACCCAGAAAATGGCTATTTAACGTCTGAAGTAGATACCAAAATTTCAAGAACCTTCCGGTATTCTATTTCCACCATGTTAGCTATGTCTTCTAGTTAGAAATATTTAGAAATATGATTTTTGTCTTCTTTACAATTCGAAATGCTTTGATTTTGGTTACATTATTCCAAAATTCGATAGTTGAGGAAGGATCTTTTTCAAGACGATGATTTCTGAACAAATCCGTAACACCTAATCTTGATGTTTCTTATCATAATTGTTTCAGTACTAGTGGCGATGATAGTTTGGATGACATAGTTAGCAGCGGGCAAAGCGAGCGCATTCCTGCAAATTTTGTAAATATTTATTAGCATTGGATTAAAGATAGAGACGATTAGTTGAATTGTTCCGATTAGTATATTTTCTAAGCGGGACAATTTTGAAAACATGCAGATTCTGCCGTACTGACTGGTGCAAAAAATGATTAATTTTTAGTTTTCGAAGATCTGTTCTTCATGTAATTAGATGTTACATTTATTCTGCATTGTATAGTTTATTTTTTTAACACTTCAGGAACTATCAGGAAGCTATGATTTTGTACAGGATGCCACAAAGCAACCGTTGTTAGGCGACGACACTAAGAGAGGAAAATCGACGCCACAAACAGTTAAAACCTGTATGTCTGTTGTTATTAAAGAATCGAAGATATGCATATTTTCGAAATTTATTCAACGATATGAAATTAGTTCAAGATTCTGAATGAGAATGAATTAGGTATTGCGAGATTCAGTTTAAAACTGGTGCTCAAACCATGTATCTACGAAGGATTTAATTTTGTGAATATTTATAAATATATCCCAGATATCTTGAGATACATCTGATTCAGGTACCGGGAATTCATTTTAGATGTGTTGGAACTGCATTAGCGAAAGAAAATAATAATTGATAGAGTTTTAGGATTAACTGATGAGAAAGGTTCGTGCTTTTTGCAGCTGATGGTATTATTCCTTCCTTTACAAACCGCACTGTTCGCAATTCATGCATTGTAACTCAACTAGGTGCAGCACAAGGTCGAGTACCCGCAACTAATGTGTTAAATTTCCGGTGGAGATTAATGCCACTTAGTGTTGGTATATCCCGACGAATACCTTCTGCTCCTGCTATTTGTTGTCGCAGGAAACGAAAGCCAGGAACAATTCAGTTGAATAAGGTAAGGTCTTTTTGAATAATATTACAAAATACAGCCCTTAGAAAATCTTTGTTTCTGCTAAAGTTCATCTAAACAATCATGTTTCTGGGAAACCGCAAGATTTGATATTTTTGTTACCAATAATTGATACCATTCGATTTGTGAATTTTAAGGAGTTTTTGAGCTTAAAAATATATTTAGATGTGGAAGTCATTTCTGGAATGGTTTTCTAATACGAAAATGGTATTAGTAATTCCTATGTTTTCTATTTTCCTGTCAAGTACATTCATTCTTTCTTCGATTTGTGAACTTTAAGGAGTTTTTGAGTTTAAAAATATATTTAGATGTGGAAATCATTTCTGGAATGGCTTTCTAATGCGAAAATGGTATTAATAGTTCCTGAGTTTTCTATTTTCCTGTTAAGTACATTCATCCTCTATGTATTCTTTGATATACCGTACGTCAATTTCCCGGAATATGCAGTAGAAATTCATAATATTACTGAGACTAAAGCGTCGTACCTGGTATCTAGCATTGGTCTTACAAACATGGTCAGCATGTTGTTTTGTGGAATTGTTGCCGATTGGAGTCGAACGAGTCCAGTATGATCATTTGCTTATAAATCTTTAATGCTTATATCTCTTTTTGAATATTTCGTCTGAGTAATGTAGATCTTCAAATTGTGATTTTATTTTTAACAATTTACTGTCCAAGGTTTGAAAGTGCTTTTGTTAATATGACTACTTTGCCTTTTTTCAGTATATTATTCAAATGTATGGAGTATTTATAACTTTAGCGGGTTTATGTGTAACACTTACACCGTTTGCTACTTCCTACATTCACTTAATGGCACTTTGCATTGGTTTTGGTTTCTTCATTAGCGCAAACTATACCTTAGCATCTGTGATTACTCTTCAAATCCTTTGTTTGTATGATTTTCAAACCGGTTATGGAATTCTGTGTCTCGTGGAAGGCCTTGGAAATCTTCTTGGTCCAGCATTAATTGGTACGGTTGAATTATAACTTAATCTTTTCTAGTGGAACAAATAAAAGTGTTCTCAATCTTTTAATCAATTGCTTTTACTGTTGGAATTGTCTATTTTATAGGAAGTGAAAATACATCATACATGTTTTATTTGTATGCGGGAATATATCTCTGATATAATGGTTTTCAGGTTTCATTCGCGACAATTTAACCGGTTACGATAACATATTCTTGATAGCTGGAGCAGGCATGATGATTTCTGGTCTTATGGTTGTAACTATCGATGTATTTATAGGTACATACCATCCTGATCACGAGAAGAAATATTCGATAAAACATGAAAGGTGATTTAATTATTTTTATCCAAAAATAGAACGAATTTGTTAAGCAAAATAAGTTCAGTATAAACTGCATGGCAGATGTTCTTCCTTGTTTTTTTTGGGCTGCTTAGTTTTTTTTCGAACAAGTTTTTCAATAAAAAGGAAAGGCAGGAACGAAATGAATAACTGATTACTGGTCAACATTTGTCTTCCGTGGCTAATATTGTCCATCTTTCGAGATACAGTGGGCTTCATTTTACTTTCTAGTCCGCTCAAAAAAACAAGGAATATTATTTAAGCCCTTTTCTGTTTATCTAATTTTTTTCTTTTTGTATTCAGTGTCGGATAAAACTTCTTGCAGAAATTAATCTATAAAAGAAGAAAAGGCTTAAATGATATCTTTGCTGTTTTATTTTCTGCATTGTTACAATTTATCAAATCTGAAAATAGCAAAGGATTTTTTTAGTGCTTACAAGTCTCCTACATTCTGTTTTTATGGCATTAGTTACAGATGTAATGGAGACCGAACAGGCTCTAATAAGCCGATGAAAAACGATGCAGTCTGTAGTTCTCACTATCTTTTCGTCAAAATACCTTAAGAAAAGCAGATTTGAAGAAATTGGAAGTTGATTATTGCAAAAATTTCACTCTAATTACGTGTTTCTGTTTTTTCTGTGAGAAGCATCAGTTTATTTTCATTGTTTTCTCGTTCCACCATTAATTTGACTACGAGTAAATCTGAAAGGCATTTTGAGGATCCATTGTGTTATTTAAGCATGTGTCACCACTCCATCAAATAGATCATTGCGCTGGAGAAAATTTTAGAATTTCATTCCTTTGTTTGTGAATGCTTCTTGTGATGGTTCGGACGTTTTATCCGAATATTCCTTGTAAGTGGTGGAACAGTTTCATTTTTAACAAAGATAGGTCTCTTTTTTTTTGCTATATGCATGTAAAATCTTTTTTTGTATGTGATGAATAGCCCAGTTTAATGTAAAGAACAAGGACAACAACATCCATTATATGACATGAATTCGAATCTGTAACAGGCTACTTTCTGTGCAATATCTTCAACCATTTTTCCACCAATTTTCTGTTTTTTTTGAGCATTTAATTTGAACAAATAAATCTTACCATTTTAACTTTTGCAAGTCTCACTGTTTGTTTGTTGCAGAAGATTCGATCTTTTGCATAGAAGTTTATTTCTTTTTGGCTTTTTCCTATTTTTTTCCGTCACCCACTTTTTTCATATTTTTGCGTTTTATACAACAAAAACCATTTGTCGTATTTCTTTTATTGCTGTCGTTTCTACTGGTTCAACCTTGCAGTTTTTCAAAGGAGGAGTTTCCCGATTTTTTTGAATCTGCAAACTTCGTCCTTGGTAGATTGCAATTTCATCTACCTGTTGTTTTAAACTCACATTTCTAACGTTGTACAGGTACACTGCCGAATGAAATCTGTCGTTTTGTGAAGACAAGAGTTTCTGCTTCATACTTGGACTGTACATTAGTAGTACATTTATTTTTTTTAAGTTCATATGTCTAATTGCATGCACTTTTCAGTCGAATTATTTCCAGTGTATATAGGTTTAGGTAGGAGACCTGTATTTGTTATACCTCTGCTGTCCAGAATTTTGCATCCTTTCTGCATGAGTTATGTAGTTATGAAATTGTTTAATATATCTCCCACATTTTCGTCAAATCCTAGAACTGAATTTGCTTATATACATTTTAAAAGCATGTAGTCCAAAATGACGTAATTGTCGATAAGTGGCCATGATATTTTTTTAAATTTATGCAATCATAAATTCACCCATCCTATTACATTTGAAAAAAAGCGACCATTTTCTTTTTGATTAATAATTTAATCAATAATTGACGAAAGTGGCAGTCAGTTTGAACAGTGGAAAAAAAACTTGTGGATTAACTGTACATGGATTGACGGATATGACTGAGTCTTAACTTGATGCTTGTGATTTTTAATATTTTAATGCACTTTAATCCTTTGTAACTGGCGATTATTTGCTATGGGAAATTTCCGAATAAAACTTTATTCATCGGAAAATTCCATCTGGAAAAAGATGAAGCAATGATTGGCTCATATCGAAAAGTGGTAGTCATTCTTAATGAGGCGTATTAGAAATAACAGACGCCTTCTGTAGCAAATGATGGTTTGCAGTAGTTGACTCAATTTCTGGTCTGTTTTTGTGGATTACTTCCTCGAACCTCTCCCGTCAAGACCTTGTGGACAGCTAAAACTTTTTGCGAGGACCTGCAAGTATGTATATTTGATGCTTAGCATGTGACAACTCTTGATTTCCTGCTAAATCAAAATTTCTGTGTATTGTATATACATGTATGTATAATTAAGACGAATTCGTATGCAACTACATTCCTAAATCCTATTGTAATGAAAACTTTAAGAACAATAAAGCAAGCATTACATGAGAAGTGCAATATTTGTAGGAATTCAATTTAAAGAAATGTCTGGAAAAATCGAACTATATTAAAGATAATTAGGTATTACTTCGTTCACATATGAAACGTCTGATTTTTCTGTACAGCTTTGAAGTAAGGCAATCGCTTGTTCGCGGAGCTGGTGGAGTCTGCAAGTTAATTCATGAAGCTGGAATAAAGGAAGTAAGAATGTCGCTGGTTGTGCAACCTGTACGTTTAAAGGTGTTGGATAATAACTGATGGTTTCTTGTACTCTCCTCGAATGATGTATTTCGATCCGAGAGTACACACTATACTTTTAATGCGAACTTGTAGTATTCGGCCTCTTGTGTTAGAAGGGCTAAACGATCTGGATCTTTCGGTAAGCATGCTTCCCACAGTTGCTTCGTAGATTTCAAACGCAGGTAATTCAAGATTATTCCAAAACTGAAATATATGCCATTTTTATGTGTTAGTCACTAAATTTGGAGAAAATTGGGAGGACTGACGATTAATTTGATTATTCAGTTCATAGCCAATCATTTTTATCGGGTACGCTATTATTAAAAAGATTTGTTACACTATAAGGCAGAAATGGAACTGTTGAAACTTGTAATTTTACCTGATTGGATCTCGATCGATAAAATATGATCCTCTGCTGTCTTTTTCTAGTGGCGGTTTTGCAGTTTCTCCAGTGAACCACTAATTAAAAATTTGCATCTATATTTAATTTTTTGAATATTTAAAACTTTCATCACGACATAACAGGTCGGATTAAACTGACATTTTGAACCTACGGAGTAAACCAATTTACTGCTCCAGTCACATTGCAGTTTTAGAGGACATACTACGCTGAATCATTGGATAATCGTGGTAACAATTTAAACAAGAGGAAAGAGATTAAGGGAGAATGAAGCCAACCTGAATAAATAGAGACTGCTTCTCCTGCAACAGTGTGTTTGCCGTTGTGGAATATTGCTGTCCACCAACATTGAAGTTGAGAATAACCATTTGAAGTTGAGCAATCGGAAAAAGGAATTAATGCATTATGGCATATACTTCTATCAAAGTATTATGAAGCAGCGAAAAACTGAATGCACAACTTTCGATCAAATCATTTAGAGAGCAAAGTTCAACTTACCGGATTATTCTCTAAGCATAAGAAATGGGCGACATGAAAACATAAGATTAAGAAGATTCAAGAAGAGATTACAATGTAACAGGAAAAGGTATTAAAGGACCAGAAAACTAATTTTTGAATACTAATTTGTTAGCAAACTGCGAAAATGAGACAGAAAACTACACTTTACATCCTTCTTTGCGCTAAAATGAGAAGCAATTACCAGCTCAATCCTTATGGATCTAAATCAAAATTGGGTAAAGCTATATCTATCTGAATGCTACATATACTTGCTGCTAAAAAGTTAATGAGAAACAGGTAACAGTTAACTTTGGGTTTATAAATTCTCGACAAGGAAATTTTTTGTCTTCTTATCGTGGAAAACGAATAGGTATAGTATGAGGTCGCATAAGGTCTGGAAATAGCAATTCGTCTGGATTCAACACTGTTCCCTCTTCCGTCCTATCCGGCTTATACGTCGCGTCTCGAGAGCTCACTTGCATAATTGCACATATGTGTGTATTCGCACTTAGCATACACAGCTAAAAGCAGACAGACATGATGAATAAATATATCGATCACCAATTCTGAAATGCAGAATTGCTCTCTTCCAGTGCTATCTTCGATTTCATGCTTGGCATTTCCATACCCAACGTATTATTTAGTGGTTAGAATAATATTGGAGGAGACATTCCCAATTTATTATACTTATTAATTTAGCAAAGATCCTTTTTAATCAATTCATTTCAAGCCTAAATTGATAGGATTAAAATTTTTTAAATTCTAAGCGGAACACATTTCACGATTTGAAAGCACACTTTTAACAAAGCAATTTTGATAATCGATCTTGACTAAATCATTGTTTCTGCTCATTTTCAAAATCTGATCCAAAAATCCTGTGTGCAAGATTTTCTCAAAATATAAAGTAAATAAATTTGGAAATTGATATGTTTCACGTGGGACAAGCCAGAAAACCCTAAAAACGAAACGATTTACTGATTATTCGGAAATTCAAGAGTCATATTTCAATTTCAAATCCCACGTACATCCAGTTATTGCGGGCGCTTCTTCTACGTCTTCTCCTGCAATATTTTCTGTGATATTATAGCAGATTCAATGTTCGAATGCACAATACTCTATGAGTTGAAAACATCTTCAATTCTTCACGTAACTTATTTTTCACGTAGATTATATGATTATTTTAAAATAGATATATCCAATTGTTATTCGAGGGGAAAGTATGATCACTAATATTTTTGGTCGTGCTTCGTGTCATAAATTGATTCTGCTAATATTATCAACAAAAGTTACGCGCATTTTCGTCGTCTTTATCTGCCTTTTCTAGAAAAAATTTTGATAGAAATTTCAATTTAATTATTTCTGATAATTTTAAAACATAAAATAAACAGAAAATTTAGGAAAGCGTTAAAAAGAAAGCTGAAAATTATTTAAACTCTATGGTCATTATTAAATATATCCATCATTTCTTGATCTCATTTTCCGTTTCCGTTACTATTTATGTCCTTGTTATCAAACACTATACAATATAACTGTTGCATAAAAATTTATGGCGAAACAACAAACTTAAATTGGTTTATATAAACTATCTTTACGGAGATTCATTTGAAGAACTATTGAAAATTTTAATCTCTGAAACTTCTTTTGGAATGGAAATGAAAAAGCTCAATAAGAAATCTGAAAATCAACATGAGATCCGGAGAAAAGTATTACATAATGTAAAAGTATAACTTAAGGGACAATTTTCATCGAGTTGAGATTTGAGTAAAATTTTCAAAAGTAAAATGAAAAGTGGTAATATCGCGCTTCATCAAAAAACAATCTGTAAACTATGTTAATAATGAATTCAGCAAGCAATAGATTACTTATGTGTATAAGTAAAATAAATATCGATTGTTCCAGTATTACTGTATTGGACTTGCATTGTTTTAACATAACATTTTCAATTCATTGCGCAATTTTAATTAAATCTCTCATTTCAAAGCATTGAATTATCCGATAGGATCTCATCCATGGCAGCAATTTTGCTTGTTCTTTTTATTTCCATCCTTTTTCAAATAAAATTACCGAACAACAAAATTTTATTATTCAAATCTAAAATCAACAGTACGACCGATATCGCTTTGTTCAACAATATTTAGAACATTTATTTTTATGAAGATTGTTCAATGTTGTTTACTAATAGATTTCACCGAATATCTCTTTTGCAAACAGGTCAACAAACTTATCTAATGATAATTTATCATCCATTCTACTTGGTTATCCAAAACCTTCAAAAAAAATTTATGATTGGAGATTTGATGTAACAAAAGACAAGAATCATTATTCTATTGATAATGCGTTTACGAACTTTTAAACTTTAAAAGACTAATGAGATAAACGGATAGGTCAAATAAATATAATATTTACCAGTTGATATATAGTAATGACAAAATCAATAGCTGTTTTACTATTTTTTATTTTTGCTCAAAAATTTTTATTCAAAATTTATTAAAAGTGCCAAGAGAGAGAGAGAGAGAAAGAGAAAGAGAGAGGGAGAGAAAGAGAAAATAAATAAGAGAATGTGAGGAAGCAGCAGTGTTGAGTGTTGAGAGATTTCATAGAAGTTTCCAATTATCTTTTATGTGTCAAGGTAGTTCGTAATATATATACTCATATCTAATTTTTTTTCGCAGTTTCATTTTTCCTTCTCTCTCCATCTTTTTTTTTCCTTCATTCTGATAATTTCAATAAAATTTTAAATAAAAATTTCTAGTTATAGTCCTAATTAATCAGTCCTATATCACTGATATATTTTTTTAATCAGTTCTACATCATTGATATTCTTTGATAAATTTCTCTTTTTTTCATAAATTTTTGTCTTTTTTGCAGTTAACGTAACAAAGTAATCATTTAATTCTGGGCATTGAAATAAGGAAAAGAAAAGGATATCTTTATTTACTTCAAGAAATTATTTTTTATTTGTCAACAAATAAACATCTCTGAAACTTACTGAACAACAGAAAAAAAGAGTAGTTGTAAATAAATGAGTAAGACAGCTTATTTCAACAATTGGCAATAACAACACATTTTTATAGTAAAATCAATTGGAAAAATTACAAATCATTTTTTCGTTTCATTGTGTTTCAAACTTTTATTAAATTTTTCATTGATTTTAGCATTCACATAGAAATAAAAGAAAGGATCCCTTTCTTTTATCGTTTATCACTTCTCATTTACATCAGTTATATAACAATCATCCATCCAGGTGTAATGCGATCATAAAGGAAACGATTTACTTACCTTCATGCGACAATTCTATTATTTTATAATTCTTTTGATAAAAACAAGACCAAAGAATCTAAAAAAAAATCACAAAATTAGAGCAAAAATTTTCTAATATAATACATATAAAAAATTCCGCTCCTAGTATTTTCAGGATTTTTTACTGTTTTGACCGGTATTTCCTTATATTACTCTAATTTGTTTTAATCATTATTTAATCGCTCTTTTTAAAAAATCATTCACATTTTATTTAGAAATGCATGTCTCTCTCCTTTCTTTTGTCCAAGTTCCATCTATCATATGTTTGCTAGAAATTTAAAAATAGTGATAGAAGACGTAAGCTCTAAGTGTGAAACTTCAAAAGAAATAAGCACATGAACAAACGAATCCATTATGTCAACAAATTGTGCTCATAACTAATTAAATGATATATTCCATGTGTTACTACTGCAGCTATCACTTCTTTCAATATTTCGTGTGATAAGACCAACGTACATTCTTAGCTACATCACATTAACGTACCTACTTCGCGTAACAAAGTTTATGAAATCAGATTTACCAATTATCTAGCATCCAGGTCACATTTTTAAAACAGCTAACAGAAGGGGCGCACTATCAATAATTTAGTGCGAAGAAAAGTGGAGATTAGAAATATTAACTAATAGTAAATTAAGGGTATAACAAATTTCGGAACTTTAAATGTTGATTAACTTACAATTGCTCTCACTAGAACATTCCATTTATTCATTACAGATTGTTTTTTGCTAATGAAGCGACTGATTATAACCGAACATAGTCGTAAAGCGAGTAGTCAAATTATAAAAAGTGGAACAGTGAGGAGAAATTTTATAGTTGACAAAACAGCACAGGTGACACTATAAAGGTAGAAAGTTAAGGAGAAGTAAATCAATCAAAAAAGAAAAAGAAAATCGAATCCTTTTTATCAGCAATTGCAATATTTAGGCACCATTCTCTTCCATTATCAATCACTATTTCACATTCACTTGTATTTCATTGCCTTCTGTTTTATTAAGAATTTGATATCTGCAGTTGAACAGTCGTCTGATATATGGCATTGAGTATTTCGTTGTATACCTAAAATGCATATTAACAGCAAACTTTTTCCGTAAAAAGTGCAAAAATTTCAGCTAAAGAAGGAGAAAAATTTTTGTGTTTCAGGCTAGATGTCCTTTGGATTTAAACCCAGTGAGACAATTTATGGACATGAGAGCTTTAGTAAAATCCTCTTTTCGGCATCTTTCATATCTGTACCTTAATAGTTACTTTTAGGCTTGAATCTTGGACATTAGATGAATCTTCATATCCAGCTAACAAACACTTCTTTTTGATTGAAAAGTTTAAATTGAGGTCGAGACACAGTTGTAAGGAATAATAAATAGGATCTCCTCTCTCTCCCTCTTTTCGCTAAATTTATTTCCTTTTTTTCACTTGGATGATAAATAATTACTAAGTTTAAGGTTATAAATTTTATCATGTAATGTGATATGGCCAAGGATATCGGAATAGCCACAATAATTATCTTTGGAAGAATTAGACATTGTAAGAAAACCAGGAAAATTGAGAACAGAATTCTAGTAGGTCTGAAATC